TGGCACTTTTCGGACTCGTCGAGCTTCCCGTTGAGCTCAAGAGCGAGCCGCGCCTGACGACGTACGGCGCGTACAGCCGTGACCAGATCTACACGCTCGACCAGATCCGGGAGCTGGTGCAATTTGCCAAGTCGCGCGGCGTGCGCATCATCCCAGAGCTCGACGCGCCGTCGCACGCTGGTGCCGGCTGGCAGTGGGGACCCAAGGCGGGCTACGGCGAGCTCACGCTCTGCTATGGTTCGGACCCGTGGATGGACTACTGCCTCGAGCCGCCGTGCGGCCAGCTCAACCCGCTCAATGCGCACGTCTACGACATTTTGAAGGCGTACGGCTAGGATTCGTTTGAAACCGTCCCTGATGTTTTATATGCGGTTAGGGTCTTTGCCGAGCTGCACAGCCTCTTTGACGACGATGTCTTCCACATGGGCGGTGACGAGGTCTCGGTGCCGTGCTGGAACTCGACCAAGACGATCACGGACCACATCAAGGACACGAGCACGAACGCGCCGTTCTTCGAGCTCTGGGGCGACTTCCAGCTCAAGGCGGGCGAGTACATTGAGAAGGCCAACAAGAAGATCATGGTGTGGACCAGCGACCTCACGACGGACGCGTACCTCAAGTACTTCAAGCCGAAGAACACGATCGTGCAGCTCTGGGGCGGCTCGACGGACGGCGACGCCGCGCGCCTCACGTCCAAGGGCTTCTCGGTTGTCGCGAGCTACTACGACGCCTACTACCTGGACTGCGGCTTTGGTGGCTGGGTCTCCAAGGGAAACGGCTGGTGCGCGCCGTACAAGTCGTGGCAGGTGATTTACGACCTCGATGTGCGGGCCAACCTGACGGAAGCCAGCGCGAAACTCATGCTTGGCTCCGAGGTCGCCATGTGGTCGGAGATCGCCGACGAACGCGCTGTGGAAGCCAAGATCTGGCCCCGCGCCGCGGCGCTCGCCGAGCGTCTCTGGACCAACCCCAAGACCAACTGGAAGAACGCGATGAGCCGCATGCGCATCCAGCGTGATCGCATTGCGGACGCCGGCATCGGCACGGACGCTGTGCACCCGCACTGGTGCCGCCAGAACCCGGGCAAGTGCACGCTCGTCTAAGCATTCGCATCCTTGTCGCCTTGGACCCATCATCAATGCCTGGCAGCGGAGTTTTATCTTGTCTATGTCAATGTATGTCTGTTGCATGCTGCTAAAACGTGTTTTGTCGGCCGTCGGCGTGGGTGCGCAAGGCCACCGGCTCCTATATCAAACGATCGCCTTCGCGCCAAAACACCAAACTCGCCTCGGACTCAAGCCGGCGCTTGATACGTGGTCCGCGCGCCACCGTAGCCACTCGCTACGCTACATGCAGGCCGCGCCCACGACGTCCCTGGTCCCGGCCTGGTCGTCGCCAAGCATGGCTGTCGTTACCAACGCCTACGTACCGTAGGGCAACTTTGCTGACCTCGCCATCGCCGATCCGTCGCTCCCCCGGATACAGTGCCTGCTTACGTCGAAGGCAGTGCCCGACCGGTTCAAGTTTACGCTCAAGTATTGGTTTGATATTCGCGTGGGCCGAGCACGCTTCCGGCGCAGTCGCCGCTGGTGCGCGAACAACCGCTCTGGTCCAACCAGTTTCTCCCGGTAGATAGCTGTAGTTACATATAAAGGACCACAAGATGGCACACTCGGTACGCACGGACAATTACCAAGATCGCAAACCCCTAAGCCCAAGACGTCCACACCTTGATGCTCGCCGCCGCCCGGACGGAGACACTAGCGACAAGAACTTAACACCTCGTCCATGATGTGTGTCGCATAACGCAATGATCCAGGCGAATATCGTCTGACGTACACTTTGCAGACATTTCAAGAAGCACAGAGTGCGGTCAACTCTGCGACGACGCTACATATGTACAGTGTACAGTATAGCTATGGGGCGGCGGCGGCGAGCTTGTTTTGGATGAGGGCCTCGAACATGCCGGCGCCTTGTTGAAAATGACCCAGAAAGCACTCGGTAAAGACACCTGGCGGCAACGAGAGGCTCTCGTCCGTTGCATTGGGTGGTAGCACTGGCGGTCGCATCTGCGCGTACGTCAGCAACCGACACGTGCCGTCGCCTTGGTCGCTCACGACCATCCTTCACACGAAAATGATGTTTTCATCCCGTAGAATAGTCGTACCATGTAGCTTCATTGCCGACGAGCTGCTGCGGGTTCCACGGCATGAGCGCGTCCTCGAGGATCGTACGCCATACGAGCACGACTCGGGACGCTTCCACGTACTTGCGCGCCGCAATCCTACTTTGAATCGGCGGAAACAGCGCCGGAAAGTTGTCGGCAACATAATGCGCGTACGTCATCTCGGTCCCAAACGATTCCTTGAGCTACGTCAACATACTTAGCCAACTCGTCGGCAAGTCCTCGCCGCGAACGACATACCGTGCTGGACACGCCGCACTCTTCCGGCATCGGCGCCGTGATCATGCCCCACAAGAGCTCCGCGAGCTGCGTAAACGGCACTGGCCACGAGTGACAGACCGTCGTGTGCATCACCAACGACGCCTCGTCGCTCTCTTCTTCGAGTTGGACATGCGCATACCGCTCACGGCTTGCTTCGTGCGTGTGCAGGTCGCGGCGAACGTACTCGGTGCTGAGCTTGCCGAGGTGGTCGTCGAGGATACGGTCCAGCGTCGCGTGCCGGTTGGTCGGGCCCAAGGACGCACGCTTCCACAGCGCCATGCCCGAGAACGCGCAGAGCTTGGGGCGGCGCGCAAACGCGCGCTGGAGCGTCGCCAGCAGCTTCATTTGGTCGCCGAGGAGACCTTGCAGTTGGGCGTTTTCGTGCAGCGCTTGCTGCGCCGCTTGCGCCTGTGTGGCCGCTCGACTGGCCCACTTCGATTCGATGGGCACCATGCTCGTGATCGCCTGGAGTTGTTCGAGCTGCGTCGACAGCTCGTCGTGCTTGGCGCGAAGGTACTTGAGCTCGTCGAGGATCGTGGACCGACGACGCTTCTTGGTGCTATCCGAGCCCGACGACGGCGAGTGGGGGCTCGACTCGCCCGAGACGAGGACCGCAATGTCCTGGCAAAAGATGTCATCTCCGTATGCAATACTGGTGGTCATGCTCACTGCGAAGCCTTTTCGATTGTGATCGTCAGCTAAAATCTAGGATGTTTCAGACGCCAATCAGACGACAGCTGGCCAGGAAAACATACGAATGACGTTTTCGGTGCTCTGCGCCTGCATCTGGTTCAACGTCTGTCCAAAACGACACGATGCCACTACCTTGGACGATTGCCGCTCCGGCACCTTGTCCCGCGGATCGCGCTTCCGCCTCTGTCTACTTCGACCACGTCCCTGCGTGAGAATATCGACAATAATCGAGAATACTCGTCGGTGGTCACTTACTATCAATCAAGTGTTTAGGCGGCAGGCGTGCAGGACATTGTATTGTTGCGATTTCCTTACAGCTCCGTCTTGAGGAACTTGAGGCACGAAAAATGGCAGATTTTTCAAGAGGAAAGGACTGGTGACGAGCCTGCATGCCGGTCGTCGCAAGATGGGATCGGTACTCGTACGTACTCACAGAGAATCTTGAAGCCTTGTTTGTCGTCTGTCCCTTTGACGACCCATGGACACCACCCATCAAGCGCGCTGAGTTGGATGCAGAGAGAGCACCGAGCTCTTGACGCCTTTTCAGTGCACAACGCAGACATCCCGGAACGGCGGCACCGCTATCTCGTCTAGTCGTCTACACGACTAGACGAGATAGTTGTAGTCTAGACGTGCCCATGATACACACGCCTGGCGTTATCACGCAAGAATAGCACGGGAATGGATCAAGAATTATCGAAGTCTGGTCTACCTTGCACCGCGATTAGAAATTTGGCCTCGTGGGTTCGAATCTCGGCCTCGCTGCCCATCGCGTCGACAATACAGACGTCCCAGGCGAGTCATCCTGGAGACCAAAGACCATGGGCACCCTCCAGTGACGAAATTTGGAGCATATTGCCCAAGACTCCGGAATGTTTGACAACTTCAGCTTTCGCCTGTGGTCACCTTGGCTTCGATCTCTTCTTCGTCGCTGGACGCCATGATCAATCTCTTGGTGCTGCCGTGGTCCGTAGGCAGCTCTTGTCGTGATAAATAATCGATCATTCGAATGCAAAAGACAAGCTCTTCGCAGACAAGCGAGCGACGGCAACGATACTACCGTGCGCATGCTGCTCTCGAAGACGCGCGTCATCACGTACGCATGTCATGTTATCGCGGCAACCTCGTTCGGATGCATCGGATTGTTGCATATCTTAGGACCAAGTCGTGCGTCATGCATGTCCGTGAATACCCCTCTCTCGGGCTCATCTCCGCGACGGGCTCTTGAACGGCGAGTGGCGTGTTTGTTGATGCAAAGACGTGATCCAAAGCTGCTGAATTTTTCACTTTTCGACACCCTGCTTTGCTTGTCCAGCTCGGTAAGAGCTGACTGCAAGAGGCGGATGAGCTAATCATGACACGCCGCGGATGGCCGCACAAAATTTCATTGGAAAGGCCGTGCTGAGTTGTGCACCGGTGATCAGGCGTCGGTCATGCGACGTCGGCCTGTCTAGGTGGCCTGTCCGACGTAGCACCTCGGCAGCTGGCGGCCGTAGAGACCGTCTTGCAGCGTCCTCCACATAGTGTGCACCCATCGCCGTCGCCCCTTTTGCCGCGCGCGTCAGCCAGTTTAGTCAAGGAATCCCACCTTGCACCGAGTAAAGACGAGACCAATCCAGTCGATCACGCTTGCTCATGATGAGCCCAGCGCGCGGCTATGGCACCGTCGATCGATGCGGCGGCTGGCCCTTGACGCTCTCGTCGACCAGCAACTCAATAAGAGAGCTCTGGAGGTGGCGGTATTGCTGCGTGAAGCATTTTTGAGAGTATGAGAGTATGTTGTTGTTGTGTGTATAACAATGCAAATACGTTATTGTTCGTTTTCGTTATATAATCGTCGTTTCTCGACACAACTATGGTACTACTGTACAGTACAAGAGTGCCACTGCATTAAATTTCTATTGATGTCGGTGGTGCGGGGTGGACAAAAGTCGCGACGGCGAGAATGAGCTCGAGGATGCTGTCGTCCATCCACGCGTCGTCGTCGACGATCTCCATGC